CCTATCGATCATCAGTCCTGAGGTTTTAAACGAGTGTCCTTTTTGCAGTTTGTCAGAGAGTGTTTTTCATGTTTTTATGGATTATGTATGACTGACTGCTTTTTAATCTAAAGACGAGGATTTTTAGCTTTTTTGATACCGTTTTTACCAAATCTGTTTTTATTAATTGTGTATATTACAGCAAAGCCACTAAGTGTAAATCCAAAATTTTAAACTTTTTAGTTGCCGAAGCAAAAATGGCAATCTATTTATCTCATAGGGACAGACTGCAGGCTGGACCTCAACTTGACGCCGTGGCTCTGTGGAAGTGCAACATCAAGGCCAGACTGGCGTTGGAGTTTTGCTTCCACAAAGACACTGGAGACTTGGACAACTTTGTGGAACTGTGGGGCTTTAAAAAGGTTTTATGTACCGTTTCTGACAAAGGAGAACTAAAATACAACAAACTCTTCATGTGAACACTGTTAAAAAAAAAACCTTAACATGATCATGTTTTTAACATTGTTTTTTTTAATTTATTGTGCAAATAAAGTTTTGTAAAAATCAAAAATCAAAATCTTCTTCTTCTTTCATCTTTTCCCTCTTCAGGGGTTGCCACAGTGAGTCATCCTCACTCTGTTCTCTGCATCCTTCTCTCACTCCAATTATAATTTATAATTTATTATTAATTTATTATTTTTAATTGCTTTTTTGGTTTTGGGTTTTTTTTTTCGTTTGTTTTTTAATCGCTAAAATTAGAAATATCAAAAATGATGCAGAAAAACTGGCTCATGCATTTGTTATGTCTAGACTGGACTGTTGCAATGGTTTGTTATCTGGGTGTCCAAATACTTCTTGAAAAAGTCTTCAGAGTCTTAACTGGAGTTGGTAGGAGAGATCACATTTCTCCAGTTTTAGCTTCTCTCCATTGGCTCCCTGTCAAATTCCATCTATCCATTATCTTTACCCGCTTCTTCCTTTTTGAGTTGTGAGGGTCACTGGTGCCATGTCCAGCCATCACTGTGCGAGAGGTTCTCCAGTCCATCACAGGAACACATAGAGACAAACTACTATTCACTCTCTCACTCACTAGGGACAATTTAGAGTTACCAATCAGCCTAACATGCATATTTTTGGTCTGTGGGAGGAAACTGGAGTATCAGGAGAAAACCCTCACATGTACAGAAAGAACATGCAAACTCCACCCAGAAAGGTCCCCCGGACCAGGATTTGATCTGTGGACCTGCTTGCTGAGAGGCAACATCTCTACCAGTTGTACCACTGTGCTGCGGCTGTCAAATTCAGAATAGAATTTATTTAACAATTTACAATTTATTGCTATTGTTGTCTGTACTTTATATGTTCAGTCTGGAACAGGTCCCTCTTGTGAATGAGTCCTCGTGGCTCAATGAGACTGGCCTGTATACTGGCGCTGGTCATAAAATTAGAATATCATGAAAAAGTTGATTTATTTCAGTAATTCCATTCAAAAAGTGAAACTTGTATATTATATTCATTCATTACACACAGACTGATATATTTCAAATGTTTATTTCTGTTAATGGTGATGATTATTACTGACAACTAATGAAAACCCCAAATTCAGTACCTCAGAAAATTAGAATATTAAGACCAATTAAAAAAAGGATTTTTAGAAATGTTGGCCAACTTTAAAGTATGAACATGAAAAGTATGAGCATGTACTTCATTCAATACTTAGTTGTTGCTCCTTTTACCTGGATTACTGCATCAATGCAGCTTGTCATGGAGTGGATCAGTCTGTGTCACTGCTCAGGTGTTATGAGCCCAGGTTGCTCTGAAAGTGGCCTCAGCTCTTCTGAATTGTTGGATCTGGTATATCACATCTTCCTCTTCACAATACTCCGTAGATTTTCTATGGGGTTAAGGTCAGATGAGTTTGTTGGCCATTTAAGAACAGGGATACCATGGTCCTTAAACCAGGTACTGTTAGCTTTGACACTGTGCAGGTGCCAAGTCCTGTTGGAAAATGAAATCTGCTTCTCCATAAAGTTGGTCAGCAGCAGGAAGCAGGAAGTCTCTAAAACTTCCTGGTAGACAGCTGCAGTGATCTTGGACCTCAGAAACACAGTGGACCAACACCAGATGACATTGCACCCCAAACCATCACTGACTGTGAAAACTTGACACTGGACCTCAAGCAACGTGGATTCTGTACTTCTCCTCTCTTCCTCCAGACTCTGAGACCTTGAATTCCAAAAGAAATGCAAAATTTACTTTCATCAGAGAACATAACTTTGGACCACTCAGCAGCAGTCCCAGGCGAGACACTTCTGATGCTGTCTCTTGTTCAAGAGTGGCTTGACACAAGGAATGTGACAGCTGAACCCCATGTCTTGCATACGTCTGTGCGTGGTGGTTCTTGAAGCACTGACTCCAGCTGCAGTCCACTCTTTATGGATCTCCCCAACATTTTGGAATGGGTTTTATTTCACCGGCCTCTTCAGGGTGCAGTTATCCCTATTTCTTGTACACTTTTTTTCTACCACATCTTTTCCTTCCCTTCACTTCTCTATTAATGTGCTTGGACACAGAGCTCTGTGAACAGCCAGCCTCTTTAGCAATGACCTTTTGTGTCTTGCTCTCCTTGTGCAAGGTGTCAGTGGTCATCTTTTGGACAACTGTCAAGTCAGCAGTCTTCCCCATGATTGTGTAACCTACAGAACTAGACTGAGAGACCATTTAAAGGCCTTTGCAGGTGTTTTGAGTTAATTAGCTGATTAGTGTGTGGCACCAGGTGTCTTCAATATTGAACCTTTTCACAATATTCTAATTTTCTGAGATACGGAATTTGTGGGTTTTCATTAGTTGTCAGTTATAATCATCAACATTAAAAGAAATAAACATTTGAAATATATCACTCTGTGTGTAATGAATGAATATAATGTACAAGTTTCACTTTTTGAATGGAATTACTGAAATAAATCAACTTTTTCATGATATTCCAATTTTATGACCAGCGCCTGTAAATAAAGGTTGAATGAATGAATGAAAAATAATTGAAAATCTTAGTTACTTCTAACCTACAAAGCTCTCAACAACCTAGCTCCATCTTATATTTGAAATCTTATTGTTCCATATTTTCCCAACAGAGCACTTTGCTCTCAGACTGCAGGTTTACTTGTAGTTCCTAGAGTTTTTAAAAGCAGAATGGGAGGAAGATCTTTCAGTTATCAGGCTCCTCTCTTGTGGAACCAACTTCCAGTTTCTGTCCATGAGGCTGACACACTGTCCAGTTTTAAGACTGGGATTAAGACTTTCCTTTTTGATAAATCCTATAGTTAGGGTTGGCTTGTTATGCTGCTATAGGCTTAGACTAATGGAGGACAAATTGACCTAATTTCCTTAAATGAATTGCTAAAATTGAATAGTTTTCATTTGATACTATTTATATCTTAACCTGATTCTGGACCTGCCATTGTGTATCTGTTCCTCTCAAACCCAGTTGGTCAAAGCAGATGACCTCTTGTCCTGAGCCTGGTTCGGCTAAAGGTTTCTTCCTCACGAGGGAGTTTTTCCTTTCCACTGTCTCTTCATGCTTGCTCAAAATGAGAATTCTGCGATGGAGTTAAATTCAAATCAGTCTTCTCCTCAGATAAATAATGTTAACTTATTTTTTTATATACTGTAATATGAATGTTTATGTGCAGTGTCCTGAGATGATTTCTGTTGTGACTTGGCGCTATATAAATAAACTGAACTGAATTAAATGTATTTGTTCAGTTAAACCCCACCCCCTCAAACAAACAGCAACAACAAAAAACCCAGAAAATATTTCACTTATTTCAGATACAAAATATGTTGGTGCTAACTTTAAAAGACTTCAACTTCATCAGGATATAATCTTATTTACTAACTTGTATATTAAAGAAAGAAAGAAAATTATAGTTTTCCTACAATATAGTAACGTCATGTACGTAACGTGTATATGTCCATTTAGTTCCTTTTAAACAGTAATTATGTGGTGTTTTATGGCTCAGTATCCTCTGAAGGACCATGTGGTGGGCCTGGCCTTTCCTGCCAGCTCTGGTGCTTCTCTCAGAGCTCTCTGTGGTCCAAGTCCAGACAGCACCGTGCCAAACCTGCAGAAAGCTCACTGAAAGTTTCCTGAAGGTACTACACTTAACGATCAACTTCTGTTTGTGTACTCCAGCTGTGTCTTTTTAAATTTAAGAGATAAATTTCCCTCTTTGAAAGGGTTTAGAGAAAACATCCAACAAGAACTTTGGAGGAGGAAACACTGCATGGGAGGAAGAGAAGCTGGCCAAGTATGCACGCAGGTAAGACCAGGTGTTTCTTGATTTCTGTTTTACTTGTATTATAGAATACATCCTGAAGGATGTTGTTTTTCCACTTCTCTCTAAGTTTGTGTTTAATATTTTGTGAATAATTACATGTAACAGTTTATTTTAGATTTGTACATGTCTAATATGTACGTTTTATTTCAGTGAGACTCGCCTCTTAGAAATAGTTGAAGGTGCTTGTGAGAAAACAGATTTTGAATGTAACCGGCTGCTGGAGCAGATAGAGGACCAAGTAGAGACATGGTGGTTCCACAGGTACATAAAATGTGAACCTCACTGTGTAATACTTCAGTATGTCGTCCTAAATTTCAGTCTGTTTGAAATTAATGTGTGATACTTTGTACATAAGTTGTTACTGTTTCTCTTGTTGAGCTTTATGACTGACTTTCTTCATCTTAAAGGCAGCAGGAGGCACCAGACCTTTTTGAATGGCTCTGCATAGAGGAACTGAGTCTCTGTTGTCCACCAGGACACTTTGGACCTGAATGCAAAGGTCTGAGAAGCATTTCACCGGATGTCAGCACAGAAATTAACAATATTTCTCCATTTTTTGTCGTTCGTTCAGGTTATGATAATTGTTTAATTTAAACTTTGGTTTAAAGATAAGTGTGTGTATCCAATGCAGAGTGTCCATCTGGACCTGGAGGTGTGTGTGGAGGTCTGGGTCGATGTGAGGGGGAGGGCACTCGCCTAGGAGATGGCGAGTGTGTCTGTGATCCAGGATACTCGGGCCATCTGTGCCACAGCTGTGCTGACGGCTACTATCGAGAGAAGAGCTCCAACGACAGCGTCGGAGCCTGTGCAGGTGCTTCACTGTCAAACAACTGTTCCTGTTGCTAAATTAACTCTCAGGTCATCTGGAGCTGACCTGTCCAGGCTCACGGCTCATTTCCTTTATAGCTTGCTATCACTCCTGTAAGAAGTGCACAGGGCCGCAAGACTACAAGTGCCTCGACTGCAAACCCGGCTGGATCCTTCACGACAACAAGTGTGTGGGTGAGTGTGGCTTCAGAGGTCAACTTGTTACATCTTAATGATTTTGTGTCATGTTCTGGATGGATGCTTGTTGTCTGACATCCACTGTACATCTCGTAGACATCGATGAGTGCGGTACAGAGCTGGCTCGCTGTCCTTCCAACACCTATTGTCATAACACAGAAGGATCGTATGAATGCAGAGGTTTGTTCCTTTGCTATTCTTTCAGGTTGTGTATGTGAGGACATAGAGGTCATCAGCATTGTATAGAACAAAATCCAAATTCCAATCAATTTTAGTCCATAGTTTAAAGACACTGAATTTGTTGTCATTACAGAAGAAAACCTCTCATTAGCTGCAGATTATTTTCCACCAAGTGACACATTCTTACAGTTTTCTGTTTGTAGTGAACAGTGTAATAACGCTGATTATTTTTATTTTTCATATCCAGGCTGTGACCAGGCATGTGTAGGCTGTATGGGCAGTGGTCCCGCCCGCTGTAAGAAATGTGCACGTGGCTACAGACTGAAAGGAGCCAAGTGTCTTGGTAAGGAAATGCTAAGTTAGCTACTACATTTTTTTATTCAATTTAACTTTTACTCCTCTCCCTAAACTGGTATTCTTTGGTTTTCACACAGATATAGATGAATGTAGTGAACGTGCAATAGCGTGCCCGGGACTCAACGAGGCCTGCATCAACGAGGAGGGCTCCTTCCACTGTGACTGCGCTGACGGGTTTATCAGAAGAGACAGCATTTGTGTGGAGAACAAGCCTCCTGGTAGGTAGCAAAGTGACATGATAAAAAATAAATAAAAATACTGAATCTTTGTACCGGTACTTGGAAAAAATTGTTACACGGGCCTCAAAATATGTATTATTATAATAGCTTTAATGATATATAACTGTACTTTTTTGTCAGCTGTTAGCTTATAAATCATTCTTTTTACTTTTATTTGCAGTGTTTTCTTACAAAGAAACTGCAGATGAAACTTTTTTCATGTATACATTCGTTTGGTATGAGACTGACTGAAATGTGGAGGATTAACACTAAATATTATCCAGATTTTTATTTTAAAACTTCAGAACAACCTGGAAAATCACCTCAAACAGCTGAGTTTTGGTTTATTTTATATTTGAACACTTGAGGGGTGTTAACACTTGATTCAATAACTATTTTAGAGTGAATGGCACAACAAGAAGTAGCCTGACCAACAGCTCTCCTTGTGTGAATAGAGCATGCTCCGCTGCGCTCACTCTTTCTAGCCACAGTCTGAGAAGCATAGTGTAACCTAAGTTAAGTTGTAAGAAAAAAATCACGAGCCAATATGAAAATATAATAATAATCACTCCTTCTTACCAATGGCTTAGCATAAAGCAATATGATCATCGTCCATCATGTTTATTAGTAGCTTAAAATACTTAATTAAAACTCCAGTAGTGGGCTAGGTCTACTGTAGAGCTGTCATTTCTAACCCAAAACCCAGCCTGGACCGATTAAGGCCAGTCCGGGCCGTTGATGTGATGACGTCACCGTAGCTGGTGGCGGAGCAGCTGTGGAGTAGTTCTGCGAACAACTTGGAACAATGGGGCAATCCAGGGTCATGGTCCGAAAGATGAAGCAGGGGTCAAATACGAGGAATCAGAGGTCCAAAAACAAATCCAGTGGGCAGTCCGTAATCCAGAATCCGTAGGCCAGAAGAAATAGTCGTTATCAAGATCAGAAGGGCGGAACGAGATCAGATGGGGAGCAGGCAAGGCGGTAAATCCAGAAGACGGGCATGAGGTCAAATGAGAGAAACAAACAAGATCATGAATGAAGCACTGGACATCTACAACCAAGAGGATTTGATAATCTGGCAGGGAGCTGAGTTAATGTCAGAAACCATTTGTCTGTGTGGCATGGCTGAATGACAAAGGCAGAAAGATGACCGTTGTAGGGTCAAGAGACAAACGTGTAGCATTAACACACAATGAACAACATTCAGGAATTGTTTCTATAAGAACGTTATCAAATATTTTACATGAACGGTAAGATCGCTTCGCTCATGAGGAAATGTAACCCAGGGGGAGCTAACCTCAGACAAACTAACAAAGATAGCTGTAATGGTGGAAGTAATGAAGCTCAGTGTTTAGTGAGGCATCTCTGGCTTATCAGCCAACATTAAGGCAAAAAAGACAGGAATAATAATAATAATAATAAATTCTAAGCTACGAATAACTTCAAATAGTTACTGCAGTGGAGGTTTTCATGCTGCAGAGTGACACAAGGCAAGAACTCACAGTGAAATTCAGTATGTAAGCGTGTAAATGTTATATTAAACAAAATCAGTTTAGTTTTAACAAAGACTAAACTTATTCAACCAGAAGTTACATATATCTACATATAAAACACACAAAACAAATCACAACTAGCTTTAAGAATTAACTTTTAATTTAACCAGCACACAATGTAATTATGACCGAAAATGGAGGATTTAATTGAAGTTACCTTCATACAGATGAACATGTGGTAGCTACTTCCTGTTTATAACTGTTGTATTTAGCTGCTCATGGGGTCGGCCGCCAGCCTTTATTCATCTTTTTACATTTTTCCAAACTCCGTTTAGTTTTTGAATTGGAATAAACTGTATTCCTCTAAACACTCAGTGTAACACGTGTCTGAATTGCATGCTCCCCACTGACAACGTTAAACCATTTCCAC